TCACCTATTTATTATAGAATACATTGCTAATCAGCTATTGAGTATCAAAGAGAATTAATAAAATGTTTGGGGATTTCATAATTAAACAAGGTATAAATATTCCTCTGCAGAAAATGATAGAGTACTTGGTTTCTGGATGTAATGTACTTAATTAAAACCAACAACTTTACTTCAGGACATTATAATTTGTATTTATTTATTTTTTATTTCAGCATATTGTGGGCGTACAGATGTTTAGGTTACGTATGTTGGCCCTGCCTCCCCTCCACCCTAAGTCAGAGCTTCAAGCGTGTCCATCCCCCAGATGGTGCGCATTGCATTCGTTATGTATGCATATACCCATCCCTTCCTCCCCCCTCCCACCTGCCCGACACCCAATAAATGTTATTCTTATATGTTCACTTAGGTGTTGATCAGGGAAACAAATTTGCTGGTGAGTACATGTAGTGCTTATTTTTCCATTCTTGGGATACTTCACTTAGTAGAATGGGTTCCAGCTCTATCCAGGAAAATACAAGAGGTACTAGATCACCATTGTTTCTTATAGCTGAATAGTACTCCATGGTATACATATACCACATTTTATGATTTAGTGGGAGGGATGAAAGGCAAAAGTAGGAAATGATCAGTGTACCTCATTGGAAGAAAAAAATAAATTTAGGTTTAAATCTGAAAAATATTCAGAGTCTGGTATATTGGAGAACTTAAAGGGAAAATGTTCTTGTTTGTCTTTAATTCATTGCATACCCACCTCACTAATGAAGTTAATGTGATGATGATGTATTTGCTTGTCAAGGCCAGTTTGGGGGATTAATGAAACTTAAACCAGAAAGTACTTCCAGTTTCACATAGGAAACATGAGATTGGCTGCTAAGGAAAGATGATATTTATAGGAAGGAATGAAGTAACAGAGATAGATTCATTTTTAGGAAGGCTAGATAGAGTTTCTCTAATCACCTCATCCCCACCCCCTCAAATATGTGGCTCCTATACATACTCGTTTCTGTCATGAAACACTTAATTGATCACATTAATTTGTTTTCAAACTGCCCCAGTCTGTCTTCTCTGGATTATATTCTCCCACATCCAAATTTATTATTTTTCCCACAATACTTCCAATTTGCAGCTGCTTCCTGTTCTTAAGCATTTCATTCCTTCTCAACTGACAGTGTCCCTGCCCCTTTCTATTTTTAATCTTCTTTCTCCACCTGTCTTTTTCTTTCTCACATGCACAAACATCATCCATCAACCCCCATACTCTCTGTGTTGCTTTATCTCTGAATCACGGCTTTTACAATCAGGATGTTGGATGGAGTCAGTTATAAATGTATATTTCCTAATAAATTATATGATCAAACTCCATTAGGCAGATAAAGTCCTAAATTGTGGGAATGATGGATCTTTGACCTTTTTATTGTCTTGTTTTACTTGGAGGAAGGGGATTTTCAGAGTAGAGAAAAATACAGTATACATCTGTAAAGTACTGCAGGATACTGGTTCATTCCCAAAAAGCTATAGTCAAGATACTTTCATGAGAACAAGTTTCACAGAGAGTTGCTTTAAGAAACGTAAATGCTAAGAAAGTTTTTCTGAGTGGCAGTAAAGTCCCCAAAGGTGAGTGAGAAAGCATTGTATTTAATCATCGTTTAGCACTAGTAGCACCTTTTCAAGCACTTAAGGAAAAGATTGCATAATTAAGTACACTTTCTCTGATTTTTCAAATCTAGATTTGATTTGATAAATGCTATACATTTTTTATTATTATAAGAAAAAAACGAGTATCACCAGAGAGAAATACACTTAATTTAGCATTGGCACTTTCTCTTTCTATGGGAATATTACTCAATCCAGCTCATTATAAATAAGACACTCAAGGTTTTGTGATAGCTATGGAATTAGCTTATGGTATGAGGTAGTATTTTTTAACTGTCTAAAATGTCTTTTATCTCTGGCTTTGGCCTTTTGATCTTGAAATAGAGTCATTTCACATAGTGCTATATATAGGGCCTTTAAAAATGAACATCTCTCAGTAATAATTGTTGATGCAAACCATTGTTATAGTACAATGTGATAATTATGAGATAATTATTTTCTTCCCCATTACATATTTGATACCTAATTATTTGTTGACAACTACACAATAAACCTCTTGTTCCATAGTGGAGGAAGACAGCACTATGATCTCGACCTTAACATTCCGATGAAAATAAATTATTTAGTCCTGTTTAGTGTTTTTCTTATAATAATTTTCAGAAGAATGAGGTGTAATTTTAATGTCATTCGGGCCTATGAAAAACTATAGACTTTAAAAATTTCATAACTTTGAACTTTAACCTTTTCAGTATTCTATACTTTGATTGGCTGCATGTGTACCTTTCCCACCCGGGCTACAGAAGTTGTAAACAGTGGAAAATAGAAATGGCTAATGAATCATACTTTGGGACATGTAAAAGGTCAAAGTTGTACAGTTTATTATTATCTTCTAGAGAATATATAGGACATTAAAATTCGGATGCTACAGTCTTGTGACAAAGAATATAATGAGAACTATAAATAATAAACAGTACAACATGAATCTTCTTGTGACAGTGATTATCACTTAGAATAGGAAATACTTAACCCATTCCCATTATTATCAGAACAAAGGGCCACTTTGTTGATGTTTATCTTTCCCTTTTGCATTTAGAAGCCATTTAAGCTACAGAGAATAAAGAGAAAGAAAATACATTCACGACTGCTGAAAACATTGTTTTATGAGCACTTTCCAAAATGAATAGTATGTCATGGTATAGGATTAATATCAGTTCATATTCTGCCAGAAAAATCTAAAAATAGCAATTTTAAGGCAACTTATCTGTTTAAAAATAGATGTTTTTCTGTCATTGAAGATATTGTCATGTGTGATAACAAAGTAATCCAGTATTTCCAGAAAGAAGCCATGAATAAACAAAAATATGTGCATTTTACTTGCATTTAACAGCATCATCCCAGGCTTATTTGATATGTACATTCACTGAAACCTGTTACATAGGCACAGAGCTCTTCATAAACTAAAGAAAACATATTTATCCTGCACCACAGAGGTATAAATAAAGCTTCAATGTCTCAATTTGCTAATGGGTATTCTTTGATGCTTACTGTAAGTGTTCAGTGTTTATAAATGACATAGAGAATAACAAACACACCCAGGATGTTAGAAAAGAGAACAGAGAGTGGAAAAAGAGCTGATTTTGTTGGTGTCACTTTCTTGTTCTAGTAAATTTGTCATGGACTGCTGTAATTAATTGTAAGTAAAGTCTTTCTTAGCATTGATCTGAGCAATTTACTTCCTTTGAGAAGGTAAACGGATCTTGTTCTGCCGTCACTTACCACACCTTTTGGCAACTCTCTCGAGATGCAGCACTGCTATTGACACAACTTGATTTCTTGTCAAAATATCTTTTAACATCTGGCTCAAAAGGTATTTTTGGTCACTATAGGCATGCCAAACTTCTCTGTTGATTAAGGCTGAAAATTCAATAAGTGTTTGGTATGCTGGGACTAAGCTACCTCATAGCGAGCAGCTGTCAAATGATTTACTGAATACTTCTTCCCAACCCACCACAGCGAATTGATGGAATCATGCCAGCTTCAGGACATGTACATAGTGAGGGCAATTCTATCATGCACTATCCAGATGCTCCTGCTAAGCTTTGCATTACAACCTGTACATTTAGAATGACCTATTATGAAACGAATGGAGAAAAAGAAAACTCATGAATCTATGTGTCCTTTTTTTTGCCAGAGTAACAGAGAACCCATTGTTGATGCTAAAAACACATTAACGGTTTTGCTTCTAAGGTAGGCATCCTTATCTACAGGTTTTGTAAGCCTCTACCTGACTGGTTATATCACCTACACTATCAGGACTTGGCATGAAAAATGCTTATTTGAAGAATTGTCCTCTGGAGACATTTCCAATTTAGTGGTTGTTCATGTACAACTGCACTATGTTTTAGGGCACTTTACTATTTAGTGAATTAAGTTGTACAGTGGTCAATATGTCCATCCTTCCATCCTGTATGCTGTGCCCATATCTTTGTCACTTGAAATTGCAAAAGTTACCATCTGGGAATTTTGATAATCTCACAGAACTGTCATTATAATGGGATGCTGTATCAAATTATGAGGAATACAAACACAGCAGTGTCTGAGAAAATAATTTCATGTGAGTAAAATATTTTCATTTGCATTTAAAACTTTTGAGCATAAAGCAGCCCTTTGTTCAGACAATGGGTGAAGGGATTAGCCCTGTTCCACCTTGTTTTGGCACTCTTACTGACCCAGCCTTGTATATATTATGTACTTAGCAACAGTGAAAATTTGAGAGGCAAACATTAGTTCATGTTGAAGCAGTAGACTAAAACTATCCCATCTATCCCCCTCCTTCTTTCCTGACCTTTCAGCCTGGCTCTGCTTCTGACTGTGAAATGTTGGTTTAACAGAAATTCTCACCTCAGTTTCATTTGGCTCCTTTTACCATTAGTGCATTTTTCTCTATTGTCTGGACTTTGGTCTGCCTCCATGGACCTTATCTTAATTCACTCACCCAGCTCTGAGCAACACTCTTAGCTGTAGGTAGGTAGGAATTCCCCAACCTAGGCTTGCCCTAGCAAGAACTCAACTGCCCCTCACCCAGTCACGCTGCAAGACAATTCAATAGAAAACTGTGGTAAGGATTTAACTAAGCTAGTTAGAAAACACCAACAAGTTTGTTTCTGTTTTAATTACCTAAGGGTAGAAAACAAAATCCAAGGTTTAGGCTCTTGGATGGCATTTAAAATAATTCACAATATTTTAAACTTCAGAATCTTTATTAAATCTGCAAATATGTAACGCACATTAGTGCTAAACAGAGTGTGAGAGGGGACAGGGTTAATATAAAAAGCATAAATTAGTTAAATTAGTAACCTTCACTTCTTTTCCCAACCCCTTTTTTCCTCCTTCCTTTTTTTTTGGCATTAGTTGTGCTCTCTCTTTGAGGCTACAGGAGCCGGCATTACCCCAGAATGGAAATGGGCAAAATGAGAAGGCAGTAGAGGACCAAACATTGGGGGGGCAGCGAAAGCAATAGGCATAGCAAGAAATGGATTGAAGCTCGGTGGTATAGGAGGTATGAGGCAATGAGCAATAGAGCAAGATGGTAAACCTGGACTACCGGAAGACAATGGGATAGGCCTTGGCCAATTATCCACAGGGTGCCGTGGGCCCCTAAGTGGGAAAGAAACATGAGCCAGCCTTCCCTTACTGTACATTCTCGTGTTACCTGGAGGCACCTCCATCAGTATCCCTGATCTGAGGGAGGGGAGATGTGGAGAACCTCTTACTTGCGGGCCCCGGGGTGAAAAGAACCCTTTACCTCTTGGCAAAGTCAAATCTAACCTTGCATTATTGCCACCTCTCTCAGTGCCCCCAGTGCTGACCCTTGTGCCTCCTACTAACAGTCTGGGAGGGCTGCCAGAAACTTCCTGGGACACAATAGAATCCTGTCCCTTCTGCCTCCAGCCTGCCAACCCCTCAGAGCTGTTTACTTCTGCTGTTGCTAGGGACTCTTCTGCAACAGCAGGTGGTGGCCCATACTGGTGTCTGAGAGCTCTGGAACTATCCACAGGAATGCAGGATCCTGTTCTCTGAGAAGGACGCTCCAGCTGCTCTCTTGCCAGATTGGTCAGCACATTGATGGGAGGTCTCAGCTGGATGTGAGGGTGGCCCCAGGGCTCTCCATCTTCCTTCGGTATCGAATTAGGACACTGCAGAGGCATGTCGTGGCGCAGCTCCCGGTTCCCATTTTTGTCCACAGCTACCACTATGGGTGAAGGGGCGTGCCCTCCAAGGCTTGCAAAAACAGAAATTAAAAATCAATAAAACTGTAAATACAGTGACCAGAAAATATCTAAAAGATGTGATTGACTGAACTCACAGAAATATACCAGGGAAAAATGTACATATAGTCAAAACAAATCTTTCCTCAGCCCACTAGCCTTTTCTGAGGCTTCTCCTTAAGCACCAGGCTACATGATTGCCCATCATGGCTACCCAGCTGCCCTACTCCATTTCTCATTCTTCCACCTCCTCTAGGAAGCAAGGAAGCCTCGAAGACCCAAGTAGCTTACTAGTAGGCATGTAATTGGAAATACCAGCTCTTTAAAGTCCCTGTAGGATCTATGAGCCACTAAACCCAGCATTCAGATTTTAGCAGGAGTGTTCTGAAAAGTCTTCTGAGGGACAACATATTTTCCTTCACGGAATTCAAAGAAATGTTAGTTATGTTAACAAACACTCCAGTTTCTATTTTTGAAGCATCATTCAACTCTCACCAAATTTTGTTAAAATTTCCTTTCATTCAACCCATACCACATCCTAGAGTAAGAGTTTCCTTATGTTTAAGCCCCACTGTTTAGATTAGATTAGGGATGTGCAACTTTTGTTTCAAAATTACACTTCAAAATCATCACTCTTAAATCCAGTATTCTTAGTACCTAAATTTATATCCTTCAACTTTTTGTCTGTGAAAACCTCCCACACCTCCTCCAACCCACTTGTCCCTGATCCCAGTTACAAACTGTCTTTTGCCTTCAAAATTGAACAGTTGTACTCAGTTTTATACTTACACATTTTCAATACAAGCCATGGATAAATTTTATCAAGTTAGCCTTTGTGAGGTGGTGGAGAAAACCAGCTGAACGCCCACACTGGCCAACTCAGTCTGGAGAAATGACTCGTGCTTCTGCCGGAGAGAGGCTTGGCAACTCAAATGAAGCCAGGGACCAACTGCTTCTTTCTAGATTTGGAGTTTTCTTTCTGGGGTTACGGTTGCTAGGGAAGGGAGGGAGAAAAGGAGTGAGAAGGGGGAGGAGATGAATCTGTGACACTCCTTTGAAGCCAAACATGGGACTGCTTTCTGCACAGCAGTGGATGGATGGTAAAGGCATTTGCTACATTAATTCTGGTGCAGGCCAATTGGAAAGACAAATCATTTCAAGGAGGATTTAGAAGAGTCATGGAGGCATGATCTTCTGTTAAGATTTATATCTGAAGTTTTAGTTTTAAAATATAATTGTCAAATCTCCTCCTTGAATTTGGAAACACAAGCATAGAGCAGTGAACCATGCCTAATCTTGTAATTTGAACTTCTAGTTTGGGGAGATGCATTTTATTAACTTGGTGGGGAACAGAGATTTGGGGGGAGGGCTAAATTGTTTTTCATTCTGTGAAGATGAAACAAAAATAGCACTATAAAATTGCATCTAAGGATCATCATGGCTTTTATTTCGTAGCCCCTCAATTTGCAGTTCTTTCCTTCATCTCGTCTTCTGGTTTATCAGTTCTGTGTGTATATTTCCTGTAATAGAGCTCTGGAGATTTCTTTTAGGTGGTGAGGTGGAGAATAAAAGGCATAAAATGTATACTAAGTTTATGAATATTAGCTCAGATTTTGGCTGGTAACTTTTTTGCATAAAGTATTTTTTATTCTTTCGCCCTAAATTTCATCCATTTCCCCCACTTTAAGCAAGTATACTTCCACAGCTTTTATTCTATGCTATTGATCTACAGATTAATTGCTCTGAAATTACGATGACCATCCCCATATCCAAGATTACTGTTATTGATTCATGACAAAGCTATAAACTTGACCCATCTCCTTACATTTACCTAAGATTCGTGCTGTGCAGACTAGATCTTGAAGATTGTCTTTTCTTTATTCTCAATATGACTATATGCTGCTATAGTTCAACAATAAATTATATTTTTTCTTAAGGAAAGATAACAGACTCAAATATTATATGTTTCAAGTTATAGATATGTGGGGTGTGTTTGTGAAAGAGAGAAAGAGAGAATAATACATAAGTATAAGGGACTAATGCAAAGGAATGGTCACTGCTGTGAAGCAACACAATTTGTGATGGAAACGACCTTTTGGGTCTCCAAGTCCACATCTTCCTGCCAGGGTGCCTTGTCTCTGTATGTACACTACTGAGTGTTTTTATCTCATTGAAAGATGAAAGTGGCATGTTTCCAACATGTTTCCCAGAGGACTCTGTTCACTTGCCTAGCATGGTTCACTATTAAGAAATCTCTTGATTCCTCAGCTTCGGTTTCTATTCTTGCTTCAGTTTATTATGTTCCCTGTCCTTATGTAAAAAGAAAACTTATTATTAGCAATATAATTATGGTGGAGAGTTAAAATCCTTTTAGTACTTGCCATATCAGAGGGAAAATTGCAACTTGGGTTAATGTCTGCTAATAGTTGGTAAGTCATATTTACATAAATAGTTTATGTATGATAGGTTGCATTTTTTTCTGAATACTGGCAATGAAGCCCCAGGAGATCCTTTTGTGCCTATCAAAAGATTGTAATAATGGGCTATTTTTACCTAGAAATGTCTGTTTAGTAAGAAATCATCTTAATTGGATTATATAAGGGTGAAGAGTGATATAGGGACTAAATCGCTGGGAATAATGACAAAGCCCATGATACCCAAGAATTTTCCAAAGCCATAAAATTTAGTATAAATGTATGGATATTAGCTCAGATTTTGCCTTATAACTTGTTTTCTTTTGTGCAAACAATGCATATTTATTGAATGACTAATGCATGCATTCACTATTTTAAGTGTGGATTATACCAAAAAGTTAAGTATGCAGTCCATACTTGCTTCAAGGAATATGTAAACTTTCTGGGGAGACAAAATAGCATCTATAAACTTATCAAAGAATAGCATAAAAATAGACATAGACCTTTAGCTGCATAGTATAATCTAAGACCACAATTGAAATGCAGAAAAAGAAAGTGCAATTTTGTATAAAGGTGGTTATAACATATTTCATGTAGGGTTGAAACTTCACTTGTGTTTTGAAGGACAGATACAATATACATGGGCAGAGGAGGAGATGACATTCTATGCCAAGAACAGTTATGGAGGTAGAAATAAAGAGAAAATTTTGGCATTCTGTAGTGCATATTTTTAAACTAAATTGGGCTAATATTTGGCAGAAATAGAAATATGAAGAGCTAATTAGATCTTCTAGAGATAAAAACCAACCAGATAATTACTAAAATTGTGTCCATGAAGAAATATTTGAAAGCGTTCATATTTTAAAGTTAAATATAAGAATAGAATCATCTCACAAATGAACCCTTTGACAAAAAGTTGTCGTGCTACCTCAATTATCCATTGAGCTTTGAAAATGAAGTAATAAAGTATATGCCTTTTTCTCTTGTTTGTTGAACGAATGCTTCAGGAGGGGAAAATGGGTAATGGAGGTTGAGAATTTGCCAAAAAGTAGCTTATTTATGAAAACAGCTTTCTTAGTCTGTTTTCTGCTGCCATAATAGAACACTGGAGACTGGTTAATTTATAAAGAAAAAAATTGATTTTTTATAGTTTTGGAAGATAGGAAGTCCAATATTAAGATGGTGGCATCTGGCAATGGCCTTCTGTCTACATCACCCCATGGTGGAAGGTGGAAGGGCAAAAAATGAGAAAGAGCAAGCAAGAGAGGGCCCAACTCACTTTCATGCAAACCCACTCTAGCAATATCTAACCCATCCTGGCAATAAGGACATTAATACATTTATAAAAATGGCACCTTCCTGGCCTAATCATCTCGTAACCACCCCACTTCTTAATACCATCACATGACAATTAAATTTCAACATGTTTTTGGAGGGGACATTCAAACCATAGCAGCAGCTAAGCCATAAAGGCCTTTCATTACTCATGGTCTCTTTTTTCATGACAGAGCTCCAGATATTGCTCATATATCTCTCAAAAAGTTGTGACAAGTATACTGAAATACTAAGTAAGGACTATACAAGGATATATTTACTTCTGCACAGCAGTTACGAGATTATTAAAAATGTAATTGATCTGCCCAAATCACGTTGTTGTGTTGTTTTTTTTTAAAGACATTTTGCAGATGTGAAAGTGCAGGTAAAGTGTCATTTAAAATACATCATTTCTCTTTTGCTTAGAAAAAGAATCCAGGAGATAGAGACACAAGGATGAATTTCTCTGTTTCTATCTGGCTAATAAGGATGTAATGAGAAGATTGTCATGTTGATCTCTGGGGAGACAGTTGTCAAAAAAATCCTATCCATTAACTCACTTTCAAAATGTAATGTGGCTTTGCCCACGGAAAGCTCTCTAAATTTAGGATGTCTAAAAAGTACTTCAAGAAGATAGACCAGATATTTTTAGAAGTCTGTGGCTATTTAATTCAGTGTACTAAAGCATGGGATTTATGAAAGCATGATATTATCCCAGAATGGGCCAGGCAGCATTATTCTATTACATAGTTATAGGCAGTAGTAAGTCTCGTGCTCTCTACCACCAGCTGTCCTGCACGCTCTGTGTGGTAATTGATGAGGATGAACAGGTGAGAGTGTGGCTATTTTACCACTAGTACTGGCAAGAGGAACTAAAAATATATGCTTCACTGCTGGACCTATTTGTATCTTGTTCAATAGACTATTATTGCTTTTCCTGAGTTCTTTGCTTCAGCTTTTATGTATATACACATACACACACACTACATATATATTTTTTTCAAGTAACTATGGCAATTATTCCAAAACATGTTATTCCCTTTCATAAACCAGAAGCTATCATAAGTTCCTTCAACATATATCACTAATTTTTCTTGATCTTCTGAGAGTAAGAACTAGAAATTAAGTAGCAGTGGCACAAGTCAGATAAAAAAAAAAGGAAGAAGGAAAAGGAAACAGATTTTTTATTACTTACTGTGAACCAGAAATTATCAGCATATTATCTCATTTAATAGTCACAGAAAATCTTTAAAACAGTTGTTACTATTATACCCATCTTATAGATGAGGTAAAAGAGAGTTGGAGAAGTTAAGTAGTAGTTTTCTATAGGTCCACATCTAATAAATGGCAGAGGATATTCAAATGCAGCCAACCTGACACCAGAGACCATATTTCTCCCATTTAAACATGTGGCCTCCTAATTATAGTTCTATATCAATCCCATTAGTGGCTCAGATTAAAAGATGTGTACCAAATTCAAGTTTAGTTTATTTAGTGCATGGACTAAGTGACACCCATCTAGAGGCAGTTTTGCAAAGAGGGAATCATTCAAACTGTAATGCTCACATCCCACAAAACCTGCCTATGCAGAGATGTACCAAGTGATTAAAGCATTAGGCATTTGGTGGTAGTCCAGCAAGATGGTGAGGACTAAAATCTCTGTCATGGAGCAATTGGAACTGGTGACAGTGGATAGGACTTGGTTATAGGACAGGAACCATGTGACCATTACTGAGGAACTAATGGTAATATGAGCCCAGTATTATAAATACTAAGATTAAATTAATGTTGAACTCTTGAACTATAGATATAGGGTTCCTCATATGCTTTCCAGGGTACTGGATGGGACTAGGGTGAGACTGAGCCTATCGTTCTGTCTGGGTCATCCAGCTTCCAGGATTCTAGCAATGGGGAGAAAATAAAATTGTGGGATAGTGTGTGTGTGGTGAAATGAGGGGGAGAATTAGATTTGTCCCAGTGAGATATTATTGATAACTTTGGAGAATACCCTTCTGAATTAGGGAAATGTATTAATTTAAAAATAAAATAGGGACTAAGGAGCAAGATGGCAGACAAGAAGC